TGGCTGGGAAAGGGGACTGTGGGGTTAGAAGTGTTTTTGTGTTCCCCACGGTTCCGGGTCTGTCACAAGTTATGCTGAGCATAGGAATGAACATAGGCCACTTGGGGTCAGTGGCAGGCATTGAACTTAGGTATAGGAAATCACAAACGCATGTTGGAAGGGAACTTCAGCCCTGCCGTAGGGTTCAGCTGTAATAAACCTGAAGTTAACAAAGCTTTCTTAGTCACCACTCCAGGCATAGTGATTCTGAAGAAATTATAGAATCCCAGACTGGTTTGGGTTGGAAGGGACTTTAAAGCTCATCCAGTTCCAAGTCCCTGCCACGGGCAGGGATACCTTCCATTAGGCTGGGTTGCTCAAAGCCCCATCCAACCTGGCTAAATGAAAACTTAATGAGTAGCATGCTGTTTATACAAAAGCTCTTTGCAGAAGGTAACTGTTCTGGGAAGCTGCATTAAGTAGAAATATCTAATAATTATCTGGTGTATTTCATTTTTAAAATAATTTGGAAATTGCACTATGCACAATGTGGCAGGCATTATCCTAAAAAAATTAAAACGAATTATGGAAAGTGAATCAATGGAGTGACTCATCAAGGCAGCATAGTCGATTATTGCCAATCACAGTGCCTTATCCCTGATGATGCTTTCCTTTGGTTCATCCTGCTTGTGCAGATTTGCATCTAAAATGTTTTTAAATACTTTATTAAAAACACATACTTTGGTTCAGAGCTGTAGATCTGAATGCTGCAGAATTGTGTTCATGGAAACTGGCAAGTGAAACTAACAGAAAACCCTATTGAAATCTGTCTTGAAAGATTTTTTTGCCAGTCAAAAGCAAGTAGATACTGTTTATTATGATACTGCATATGTTTGCAGTATCGCTGTATTTTGTAGGACAATTTACATGAAATACTGAAGATTGTGATTTCTCTGTGAATCACACAACTGTTATAAAAGCTGAACTGCATCCTTAGAGCAACTTAGTTAGAAATTAAATAATTTCAGTCTTTGAACAGGAAGGGGAAAGCTGCTTAAAGACAGTGGTTAAAATCCTTTCTTCAGTGAAATTAATTGCAAAAAAATCCCTAAGCCCACCAAACCTTCCCGTCAGCTTTAAATTCAGTTTGTGGTAGGCTTTTTTGGTTGTGTGTTTTTCTGGTTTTGGGGCTTTTTTAGTTACTTTGAGTAGGTTAGTTACCAATTTTTTCTTATAATTAACACCTCTGAGATGCTATATGAAACATCTTAGAGGTATTGATAATGATATAGTGATTGATTATTGATAATGATATAGTGATCGATTATTGATAATGATGTAGTGACCAAATATTTTTTTAACACTGTCATATTTTTTTTTTTTGTTTTTGTACTTAGCAAGCTCTCAAAAGATGGCTCAAAGCTGGTCTTTCCTGGATATCTGTGAGTCTGACTTCAGGCCTCTGGTAGTAATTGAGCTTGCCAAAAGTGCCAAAGTGGAAACCATAGAATGGTTCACTAAAAGAATTGTGGACAAAAAAGCAAAGGGAGGTGAGTACAATATGACCTTCTGTAACACTTTGAAATCAAATTGGCTGTCATCATAGTATGAAGACATACAGAAAACCAGTTTTCAGGGAGTTTGTGATAATTAGCTAATCTCACTCCATTTTGTGTTTTTTGAAATTGTTTAATTGTATATAAGAGTAGAGCTTCATGCTGGTGTGATGAAAATATGATAACTGAACCCAGTTATTAATGAAAACATCAGATTAAGGTCACATGCCTGTTGAAGTCTAGAATCCTTCCTTTTTTTTTTTTTTTTTTTTTTTTTGCGGTGAAATCCTGATAACCTGTCTTTCAACACAGTTTTGATATCAGTTTTTATAGTAGTTGTCTAGAGCATCTTTCTCTTGTTGCTCATGACAACATCGTAAGTCTTGCCAAAATGAAAGCACATCACATCTACTATCCTGTCCATAAGATCTGGTACCGTATTGTAGAACGAAGTTAGATAGCAGTAAACAATCTAATCTCAATAAATTCATGTTAGATTTTAATTTTCTTTTTGCTAGCTTGTAGGCTCTTACAAAGACAATACTTCATTACTCAGTTTAGTGTATTATTCAGTTCCAGGATTTCAAGTTAGGCTAATTCATTTGTAATTCCATAGACTGACTGGGGTGGTTTTTTACATTTTTTAGAAAGACATTATTTGTGGCTGTTGTAACTTACATCTTGTGGTCAGTAATATTTCTGTGGCTGTTGGATTTGTGGCTACAAACTTGCTTTCTGGACTCTGTTAGATAAGTCAGGGTTGTTTCTATTTCAAAAGTCTAGTCTTCTTAAAAAGAGTGGGGCCATTTGCAGAAGCATTGGTTGCTTACATGATGTGAGCGTTAGGGGAGTAGATCCAAGCTAAATGGGGGGGTGACCTTGCAAGATTCTGAACACCACACTTCAGGTGCTATTGAAGCCTTAATTCATTGTGCCCTAATGCAGCTTCAGCACTCCTGATAAGTAGGTCCAGTATGATGGATGCTAAAATATAAGAGGTTTGAGACTTAATGTATTTTCTTCCTTATTTTGCCTTTCTTTACTTTAAAGGTGCACAACTGCTCGTTAAACCATTGCTTACGGAAAAAGGTGAAAATATTTATCTAGTTGGAGCTTCCCACTTAAGGCTGTTGCTGGGAGCTGAAACTGTGGGTTTGGTGAAGGAATGTAATGATAACTCAATGAGAACTTTCACATATAGCAGCAGAAAAACTTTCAAAGATTTTGCAGGTAAGGAATTTTAGGGGTCTTTGGCATTGCAAAGCTATGGCTAAAGATAATAAGCAAATACACTGCTAAATCTTTCACGGTCTTTTTATTCCTTGGAATGGTAACAGTGAGCAAAAATGGGAAGAACAAGCTATGAAAAAAATACTCATTTTTACCTATAGGAATTCAGATCATATAGTGAAATTAAAATTCTTTTTCCTTTCACATGGCTTTCACATTTTTCTTGAGTTTTACTTTATGCTTTTGTATGCAAGATTTTTGTTGAAATTAAGACAAGAAAAAATAGTTGAGAAATGTGAGTTCAGTATTAAAAATCAGCATTATGAATTAAAGTAGCGGTTTAATTTCTGTGAGCTTTGAGGCTTTCTTTGAGGCTTATCTTAGAATTACCTGGAGAAGCCAAATAGATTTGATTTTCAAATATATTTGAAAATTATTTTTCTATTATATTTGCACATCAAACAATTAAATAATTAACACTACAGAGCCATGCAGTGGAATTTGGGCATGATTAGTGAAATCATCCCTTTCCCTTTTTTATTTTGAGGGGGTGCCAGCCCAGTCACATTCTCTTAAATGTGCTACCTGTAAGGTATTTAAACTCCCTACAGTGGTAAAATTTATTTTCCTCTCGAGGTAAATATTTGAATTCCACCTTAATCTTGTTAATACTTTTCCTGTACCTGTTTGGGTGATGCCTTTCACCACATTTTCAATAAAAGACTGCTTGGGTCTGTCTGAAACAGTAATAAAGTTGAGTTTTGTTGTTTGTTTGGTGACAGTTTATTTAACACTGCTGCTTTGTGTAACTGTTGCAATGTCTCTTCTCTTCTGACCATACTTTCCTGAAATTGGAAAGCCTGGAGAAGAATTATCAGTTGCAAAGGTGTCATTTCTATTTCTTTCATGTGTTTACATCCTTAATACTAATCTGACTGCCATTGCTAACGGATTCTGTAGTAGCAGCAGGAAATCTGAAAGATAATTTTTGGTCTTTTTTTTAAACACTAATATCATTTTAGTTTTGTCCAGATCTGATCAGAGGATAAAATAATTGACCATGCTTACATGATGTGAAAAATGTGTCATCTACAAAAGAAACCTTGCAGCCTGTGTTTCGTACTAGAATTTCTAGTTCCCCAACTTACCTGATGCTTTATTTTTTTATTAGATATTTGTTGCTGGTTTAGCTTCTTACTTAGTGTATTCAGGGCCGTCCCTATAGTTTCCTGTTCCTGAGGGGGAAAAAACAATCAAGTGGGCATTATCTCAAGGAAATCAGATTGTTTTCTTGATGATAAATTGATGGGGTTGACAATAGTTTTGTTGCTGTAGCTCTTGAAAATTCAGAATTTTTGGAGATGTTTCTTATTGTTTTACCTTATTTGTCTATTTTTATAAGAACTCATTGTCTCAAATAGTGTATAATTGTGTTGCATGGGCAATAAAGAGCAAGATACCGTGATATTTGGTGTGAAATGGTTACTGAAAAGGAGATTTTCCTGTCATCTTACCGTGTTTTGTTATGAAAATGCTACAGTAACTGTATGGCATAAAGGGTTATGAAGATTCTGGGACCGGCAAATAGTGCATGCCTCAGTAATAGCCTTTCAGCAGGGCAAGAGTATGCAGTACTTACTGGTATACTATCCCAACCTCCAGCAATTAGCACTTCAGGGGTGTTTTTGTCTCTTGAGTGATCTGTTTTCTAATTCACCTGGGCAGTCAAAACTGTAGTGGCCAACACATGCCAGTTAGAGAAAACATCTTCCCAAGAAGTGTGTTTTAAACAGTGGAGTTTTTGCTAATGGATGTTGGTTGGCAGTAATTGTCACTTTGATATTTTTTTTTTCCTGATTCTGGTTGGTTTTGGTAGCTATTTGCTGCCAGAGTTGTCTTCCTATGCTGCACAGTTTCATACTACCTTCTTTTTGATTTAGACGACAATCAGAATTTCCTTACAATGGCAGAATGTCAGTATATCATCAAACATGAACTTGAAAATTTGAGAGCTAAAGATGAAAAAATGATCCCTGGATATCCTCAGGCAAAGCTGTATCCAGGAAAATCAATTGGTAAGCCAAATATTTTGTCCCATGTAATTCACTGTGTTGATGTAGGATAGTGTTCATGTTGGAAAAAAAGTAAATATTCTGCAGTGAAGAAAAATCCTTCAGACATTGAAGTCCCACTATTTTTAATCAACTTTGTTTTTTCATCTCTCCACAGCAGGAGGGCAAGAGGCAATGGATGCACAGTGCAACCAGAGAAATTCTGAATAGACATTGAGAGCATGTTTTTCACAATGAGGGTAGTCAAACATTGAAACGGGTTTAGTGAGATTGCGGTAACTGTCCTGGGAGACTTTCAAATCTTCTCTAGACAAGGCCCTGAGCAGCCTGATAAAAGCTGGAGCTACTTTGAGCAGCAAGTTGGACCAGATGACTCCCAGACAGCTTTCCATCCTCAGTCTTTCTGTGAGGATGAGACTCTGGCCTTGTATTCTTTTCAGTTGGATAATTTTCATGTATATTGATTCATCCATTATTTTTATAATTAGTACCCAAAATATTTGGTGTAAAAAAATTACATAATGATATACTTGGACTGGTTTTGTGTAAAATTACTGCAATGAATAACAGTGTTCCAGAGCTATAAATTTCACAATATGAAGGAAGGTTTTTTTTCAGTCATTAGAGTTCATTTATCCTCCCCTTTGCTTCAAGAGCTTCCTTTTCATGGGAGAAAGAAGCAATGAGAGCTAGTGCTATATTTATGGTAGCTGGAACTAATTCATTGGCAGAGATGCTGCAGTTTCTTAGGAGAATTTCTCTTTATATTTTTATGTCCTTTTAATAATAGCGTCTTTATTCATTACTGTTGGTAATCAAAGAAAGAGTAGCTCAAGAAATGTGAATGACTGTAGATGTCAGATGAGTTTACACTGGTAATTTTTTGTATAGCTAAGGTATTTTTCTGGTTACGTCAAGCAGATGCTGAGTGGAAATGGTAAATAACTATCACACAACTTCCAGTGCCTACCCTCTCCTTGTTTTGCATTTATTTTCTTTTTAATATTTCTATGGTTGTAACTTCCAAAGCAGTTAGTTAATTGTTTATCCATACAGGTAGTATTGCTTTCCATAACAAAGTTAAATACAAATTGTAGAATATTTGGTTTGTTTGCAATGAAGATGTGTTGTAATTTATGAATTAGTGTAAACTGATACTTCATATTGATAATTCAAAAATGGTTTTTGTATCTTTTCCATAATTAATACAAAAATGGTTCTTCAGCTTAGTGTTTGGGTTTGCTATGTCAGTTTGATTTGTTATGTCTTTCTTTGCTTACATGCAAGAGCCAGACCATTCCCCACAAAGCTACACATGGCATTTCAGTTCTGACCTGTGGCACTGTTTGCTTTTCAAGCTGCAACTGATTATATTACAAACCTATGGAATTGTTAATTGATGCAAACAGATTACTCTTCCAGTGGACAGCACAGTCCTTATAGGAAGAGGTCGAACTGCTGTCTATAATGAATAATTTTTAACTAACACACAAACAATTTGTTTGTTTTTAGGATTTAAAAGCTAGATTTATTTCAAAGGGGCTGTAGGCTTGCTAAGTACATCATATCACCTGGTTGCTTATCTCAACTTGACTGTCTTTGAAGGAGTACTAGGTACCTTTTTTTTTTTTCTTTTTCGTTCTAGTGAGAAGATTATTGACCAGTGGTATTCTAGTTCAGATTTTCCCACTGCATGACAGAGAAGAGTTGAAAAAGCTCAGTTACAGCTGGTATGGGCGAGTGAAAGTTGGCTATCAACCTTTAGGTATGTGAACACTTACTCCATTACAAATAAAGGGCAGGGTTTCATCTGGAGAAGTTTTCTCTTCAGTTTTTGTGAGAAGACCAAGGGTCCTTCCTAACTTCTGTGCCAGCATTTAGCCTCTATAAAAGTGAAACTACTCTGTGGAAGGTAAGTATTATACTAAGAAGTCTGTTGTTTCACTAACGGTTCACCTTTTCACATCCTCAATTACCCACTGCAGTTCTTCTCTTAACATTACCTTTCTGCCCAAGTTGCTTTGTTGTGAACCAAAGTCCTTGTTTTACCCATCCTTGCTTTTACTGGTCTTTGAATCAACAGAGTGGCTTAGGCTCTGGTTAAGGATCCACGTTTCCAGATTTGTTGACGTGCACAGTTGAGGTCTCTGCATCAAATTCTGCTTGATTCTAAGATGATCATAGGATAATCTTTTGCTGTAGTGACTTGTAGCACAGCTGTTATGAAGTGCTGCATGTACAGGCTGCTGTCTCTTTATTTTCTTTCTCATGACTGTAGGAGTTCTGTACGTAGGCTTTTGGTCACAGTTTCCAAGTTGGAGCTGTGGGGGGGCAGTTCAAAGGCTCAGCTTTTGCACTGTGATCATCTAGCTTAGAGTCTTGAAGTTGGAGCATTGTTCTTTTACCAGATGGGCAAATTTTTTCTTCTTCTAATATTTCCTGTGTAACCTCCTGGAATGGTTCAAGATTTGTGAAATTGGTAGCTCAGTGTCTGCAGATTTGCTGTCTGCAAGCTTCCATGTAACAAGTCTGTACATCACAAGTGCTTCTGGTCAGTAAAGCAGTAATGGACCAAGTCAAGACTGTTTCCTTTTGACAGGAAAGCTCCTCAGTGTCTGGAATTCCCAAAACTATTTTGAGTCGTAGGCATATCAGAAGTGTGTTTACAACTGTTTGTTTTAAATTCATTGTCTGTATGAAGACTGTATGTTGTTGCAAGCCAGCATCACATGAGTATGTTTTCCACATTGAATAAGCTTAAAATGAAAATAATCTTTAGCCTGGTAATGCGGAAAGTCAAGTTCTAGATTCTAAACCTGTAAAACTTCCTTAAAATTAAGAAAATAAAGATTTGTGAGTTTGCCTGATTATTAATCTCTAGGCCTTGCAGTTGCTTGAGATCGTTTTTGAGCTACAGGAAGTTAAAGATCTGGCTTGATAATGCCTGCCTGCAGAGTATTGTGTTAGGGGTCTTAATTGTGTGCTTGTGTTTTGTTTATGAAAGTGCGATCAATTTTTTTTTTTGACTGTCACTGAATACACACAAAATTTCAAAGTAAATCCCAGGAACCCTGTTATGTGTGTACTAATTTAGGGCTGTCTTTCATTCTGTGTGTTTAGTGTGTGAAATGGTGCTATTGACCTACACTTGAACTTGTCAGTAAATTTTGTATTAAGAGGGATGTTGGAGTGCCTTTCCTTCTTGCTTTCAGTGACTTACCTGATTGGCAGTTGTGAACTTCTGCTCTAGTGTTTTGTAAACCATAAGCTTAAGAATATTCTGGTATTGCACTTGAGGTTTTGATGTGCTAATCTGTTATGGAGAGTACAGTTACAGTGTCAATTCAGAGGTCATGATGTCGTGGTTGTTTTGTTAAGCTGATGAATACACAGCAGTGGTATACAAGCAATCTCCTCTTCCAAGCAGGCAAAGATAAAGCAGATTTCAGCATTCTAAACTTAGTTTGCTAGGAATTTCTAGATCTTATTGTGTGATGCCATGTCTAGATTGTGTTGGATAATACTCCTGCTTTCTTTTGTTAGTAGTAAGGTAAGTGACATCTTGGCCTCCTTGGAGGTAATACATCTGTCATGAAATACATCCATTAGCAGTGCACTTTTCAAGTCTTTATAACAACTAGGCAGACAACCTTGGTGAGTACAACCAGTGTGTATTTCATGTATCAGTTATCTGCTGAAGGGAATGTCTCAGCATGGCCATACTATCTGACATGTTTAAGATTTCAATATACCTTTCCAGCTATTCCTTTAGTTCCTTGAGGGCTGGCAAAGCACAGCTAGTCCTTTTTGGCCCCGAGTGGGCTGGAACAAATTTGTTCCCTAAGTGTACAGATGCCAGTGAAAAGCTTCAGAAGTTAGATGTCACTTGCTGTTATAGTTTGGTTTTTATGATGCCAAATGTCTTCTGTGCCATCCTAACCATTCAGTGATAGGTTCTGTTTGCAAGAATGCTAGTGCTTTTGATTTCTTCCCCTCCCCCCCATATATTTGATATGGTAAATATTGAGATACTTGAATTCCCTACCATCTGAATATAAGTACATATGTTTCTGTGTGTGTGTATATGTGACATAAAAATAATTCAGATAACCTTCAGAGATTTTGGAACGTGGGAGAAGGAGGAATTAAAAAAGCAGTAATATACATTGTGTTACTTAGAAAAAAACGGGTCAAGGGATTAATGTAAAGTCAAGTTTGGTACTATACTGACATCTGAGTTAAATGTAGTCTTGATTCATTTTTTTCTCTGCAGATGAGATACGCTGCTACTTCGGTGAAACCATTGCACTCTACTTTGGCTTCTTAGAATATTTCACATTTGCTTTGATTCCCATGGCTGTCATTGGGATTCCTTATTATGTGTTTGCATGGGAAGACTATGACAAATACGTGATGTTTGCCACATTCAATCTGCTCTGGTCCACTGTGATACTGGAAGTTTGGAAGCGGATTTGTGCCACCATGACACACCGTTGGGGGACGCTGATGATGAAACGACAGTTTGAAGAACCAAGACCAGGCTTCCATGGCATCCTGGGTATCAATCCCGTCACTGGGAGGGAAGAACCAGTGTATTCAAGTATTAAGAGACAGCTCCGGATTTATCTGGTCTCGTTACCATTTGTGTGCCTTTGCCTCTACTACTCACTGTATGTGATGATGATTTACTTTAACTTGGAAGAGTGGGCCCTGGCTTATCATGAGGAGAATAACTCTAACTTCAGTAGCTTGATGCTGTTTGTGCCCAGTATCGTATATGCTGTTGTGATTGAAATTATGAACCGTATCTATCGGTATGCTGCTGAATTCTTAACGTCATGGGGTAAGAAAGTTGTTGACTCTTCTTCCTTAAAGTTGGAATCACAGATGTTCAGAATTTGTTTCTTTGTAGAATACGTTACTTTGAGCTCTAGTTGAATGGAATGCTAATGAAATTTCCTGAAGTAGATTTTTACTGTGGGGTAAAAGAGATGGCCATTTTAACTTCTTATATTTATTTTGAGTGTTCTGAGACTGCAGTTTCACTTTTGGTTTAATCTCGTTTGAGTCTAGCATGCCATCAGAAGAGGTGATCCTGCCTTCCTCCTCCACTTCTCTCTGCCTTTGGTGCAGAAATCCCCCTTCCATTTAGCTCTTTGTTTGGCTATATCAATGGTAGTGCTGGCAAAAGCTGAGATCATGAGGATGGGAGCTCAGAGGTGGATGACTGGAGGGACTGCCCTGGCAGTTGCATCCATAACCTAGGATTGACGAGTACATCCTAGTCTACTGATTTATCTGTGCAGAGGGCGGAGGCACTGAGATAGTGGAACAAAGTCTAAAAACACCAACTAAATGTCATATGAGAGTGTTTGTGTATCCTAGATAAATAGCAAAGACTGATATTTCACATCCCTATTGAACTAATTTCCTTTGGGCACTCAGAAGAGATGGGGCGTTATAATAGATAGCTTTTTTCTCCTTTCTGCATGTGACATACTTGACAGATTGGGCCTTATGTTTTGTAACTTAACGTAAGGATAGTGAAATGTTAGTCTTTATTTTGAATTTTAGCACTTCTGTAGACATGTGCAGTCACTTTCAGACAAAGGTAGTAGGCGAAGCTAATGGGGAGTTAACTGGTTTGTGTAGCTCAATATGGCTTTCATTTACAGGACAGAATCCAGGTTACTAAAGCTGGGCACCCAAAAAGCAAAAGGGAGATTCATGCAGAAGTCAGAAAGAGGTGTTAAGGTAGAAATTCGTTTTGCACACAGGAATTATTTGCTCAACAAATTCTAATTGACAGCAGCAATAGTAAAAGCAAGCAATTTCTTGATTTGTATATGGCTGTTTAAGCTTTATATTTTTATATATAAGCTTTATATATTTTATATTAAGCTTTATATTTTCATTATTTAAAATGACTTTTAAATTCATATCTGGGTTTCAATTGATATTTCTTTTTTTTTCTTTTTTTTTTTCACTGTACTGCAAGAAAAAGCCTTTATGCAAAATGCCCAGTTGTGTTGACCAGGTAAACTAAAATGTTTTTAAGAGGTAACCCAAGGATTTTTTTAACCTAGATTTTTTTGGGTTTAAGATGATGTTTCATATTCAGCAGCAACAGTATGTAACTCACTACACTCACAACTTGTGCTATCCAGCGTGTTTATGCTGCTATGCTGTCAATAGGATGAAGAGCTCATCTGGCTGTCTTATCTCCCCTCCTACCTGGCAGCTACTATCTGACTTAAACAGCTAGACTGACAAAGCATAGGAAACTATGTGGGGTAATTTTAAGCATGCCCGTTGTACCCGTTTATCGTGACACCTGGTCATTTAGAGAAAGCTAAAAGTAAAAATTGCACTCAGTCACTTGACTGCATCTTCCATGTGTCGGGTCCAACTTCACACCCCTGTCAGAGTAGAACTCTGCTGTTGTGTGCTGAGCAAGGTCTGGAGGTGAAGGTGTCTCCTTTTAGCCTTGTTGACACAGCTCGTGCTTATGTGCTGCCTTCTCAGTTACTGCTCAGCCTGGGCTTTAAAGGTACAGTCTGACAAAACAGCGAAGAGAAATGGGAAATCTCCCATTCCCTTCCCTTTCCTCCTCCCTAGTAACCAGCCTTCCTCAGACATTAGCTGCTGACAGTTTATCTGAAATGAACTGAAAAATATTATCTTTAGAATGAGTAATGCATCTGTTGAACTTGATGTACTCTAGTCTTGCTTTAGAGCTTAGGATCTGATCTAAGTTGCTTGGAGATGGGTGGGAATATTTCTGTAAGCATTTACTGGTTTTGATTAAAATCTGGTATTATTTTTCATGATATATTCCAGTCAGTTTTGCATTTGTTTTCAGCCAAAGAAGAATCAATAACTAGACACATTCTATTAAGTATTGAGAATGGTGGATGGTTTTTCTGTTACAAAGTAGCTCTTCTGAGAAAGAAAGACGTAAAAGGAAAAACCTTTGCAGTAGAAAAAGGACTGGAGTTGTAGCCAAAAATATGTATGCTAATATTGTGCATTAGATTAGCTTCACAGGTCAAGTGAGATACTGATACAGTATAAATTTTTTTTGCCATAAAGTGCTTGAGGAACTATTCCCCATAAACTCTTAGTTAAGTAATTTCTCGGTAAAGTGTCTGTTTACTCCTTGTATAACAATGTCCGGTACATAGTAAGTGCTTATGCTGTTTACTAACCAATAATCTTGTTGGTATTTTAGAAAATCACAGGCTGGAATCTTCATATCAAAATCATTTAATTCTGAAGGTTTTAGTGGTAAGTATGTAGTATAAGTATATATAAACTTCAGAGCTTGATTATGATTTTTCAGATGTACAATACTGTGATTATGTCTCGTTTTAGAAGTAGGGAGTATTTCTCTTGGTCATAAAACCTTTTGAAGTGGTTAAACATAAAGCTCAACTAATATATATTGAGTAACAGTTGTACATGCTGAGAGATCTGTCATCCAACACTTATTTTAATAAAATATTTCTCTGGGGGGAAAAAAAGAATCATTATCCTAAATTAAGATCAATACATCCCTTTTGTTGCATTACCTATGGGGAAACTGCCAAAAGATGAAAGTTAAGTAGAAGGTGACATGTTTTTTTAATGTCCACATTTCATAATTGAATTTTAGTTCTCTTTGTTCACCAGGCTTTAGAAAAGCATGAAGCTTGTCAAATGAAAATCTGAATAAGACCATCATTGAAAGTTTTAATGAACAGTTTACATCTGCATGGAAGCTTTTAGTCAGGTTAAGTTAAATGATATTCTGCATTTGAACTTTTGCTTAAGTACTAATAACAAATTTTTATTTGCAGTTCAACTTCTTAAATTGCTTTGCATCTCTCTTCTACATTGCCTTTGTGCTGTTTGATATGCACCTTTTGAGGCAGGTGAGTTTCAAAAACATCTTCAGAATGTTGACAAATTTAGGAAAATAAAGGATTGACTGAAACAGGACTTCAGTTTTTAATTGCTTTTCTAAAATATTAACTTGACAATGAATATATTTCATATGTATTTTGTTAGAAATCCAACTTCCATATTTCAGTTTCTCTGGCACAGTTGCGGAATCATAATTAGAATGGAGCAATTTTTCCCTTTGTATAAATGAGGAACTGTTTTATAATTAATTCATTATTCCCTCACACAGACGAGGCTGGAAAATTTTCATTTCCTCCTTATTTCCCTTTATGTTAGAAAATGGTTTTCTCTGTAGTGCTCTTAATGAGATACTCTTGAGGATCAAGTTTATGACTACTATGAGGAAAATAATTTGTAGTTGGTATTTTACATCAGCTTTCTGTTGTTAACATCTTTTGCACGCAAATGCATGAAAATCAGGTATAAGAAAAATACTTTTTTCTCTAAATGTAATGAACAAAACAACAGAACTTCAACTCAAGATCTCTCTTCTCTAAAGAGAGCTTTAGCAAAACAGTTGACATACTATAGCAAAACAATCGTCATACAGACATGACATTCGTGACCTTTAATATACTTTAAGGTATACTGTTTCCAAGACATGTCCAGATCTACAGAATACTTAGACATTTGACTCTAGTTTGTCCTTTTCAGCACAGAGCAATGAATGGAGGAAGTTCTTTACTGTGAGGGTGGTGAGGCACTGGAATGGATAGCCCAAATAAGTGGTAAATGCTCCATCCCTGGCAGTGTTCAAGTCTGGGTTGGACAAAGCCTTGGGTGACATGGTTTAGTGTGAGGCGTTCCTGCCCATGGCAGGGAGTTGGAGCTAGATGATCTTGAGGTTCTTTCCAGCCCAAACCATTCTATGATTCTAATGGGAGCTAGAACACCTATGCTTTTCATATGCTGTTGCTAGTTTTGTTAGGCTGGCCCTTTTGTGTCATAGTATAACAACTTGCAGTGTTACTAGAATGCACAAAATTGAAACGATCATAGGTTTATCACAGTTTCACAGTTCTATTAATTGTAATTATTTTTTTTTTTTTTTTTGGTGACTTAAGAGTTTGGCCACTTTGCTGATAACTTCACAGATCCTCAATCAGCTGGCAGAATCCTTGCTTCCTTACTGGCTCCAAAAGAGGTATAACAAGAGGATGAAGAAACGCCATTGTTCTCAAGAAACAGATAAAGACCTGTCGTTAGCTGAACAAGTCAACTTGGAGAAAGAAATGGGCACCTACTGCGTATGTTTTACTACTGTAAAAGAGTTCAGACTTTTCCGGGTTGTAGTTGACAAAGATACGAGCCAGTGCAACCTGAAATATTTCTGTCTGTCTGGCCTGGCAGCTTATTTCCAGCTTAATCATTTTTGCTGGTAGTGTTGTTTATACAGGTCTGTGGTGCACTAGATCAAGAAACTGAAACAGTGCAGGATCCCAGTTACACTAGAATGAAGGGTAGGAATGAACAGCTGAATCTGGAGCTACCTAACCCTGTATCACTGGAAGAAGTACTGGTGTAGTATGCCCTTAATCTCCAAGGATAATTTAAAGGCTACCAGGATGAGTAGCCTGGCATACGGAAGGGCGAGACTGTGTTTTAGTTTGGTTTTGCAGTGATACTAGTTTAAATTGTCAATTAAACTTTAGCCTGAGAGAGTACCCATGTACACCACTCATGTCTGGGTGGTACCAGAAATGGAGGGGGCAGAAGAGAGTAATTCTTCAAACCAGTACTACTGCTGGAAGCTCTTGCTTCTTGAAGCTACAGCTTTAGCATTTGCTGTCTTCCTAGTTCCATTCCTGACCACCTCTTATCCAGTACAACTTTTAATTGTATTTAACAGATTCTTGCAATGTATTACTTGCAGTTCTAAAGGAATTGACAAAGTAGACATCAGTGTATATGCTAAGGCCTTACAGACTGGCTGACAACTTGCTTGATCAGATGCTGCAAGCATAGTCACAAGAGTCTTAATACTTTCACAGAGTAAGAATTATATGTAGACAGTGAACCTTTTATGTAAGGCAGTTTGAAATGCATTATTAATACTGTATCAGATTCTTCTCTTCCTGTATAAAGTGCCATGAAGTGGGAAGAGGAAAAAGAAATACTACCTTTGCAATTGAAAAACTGTATAAATGTTAACACTTGCCTTCCTCTGGGAAGGTTGGTATTTCTGTCATTTTATATGGAGGGAGACAGATTTAGAGAGTATGTCTGTCTAGCAAGGGAGAACACAGCACAAATCCCCGAGTTGGTGTCTGAGCTGGTGAATCAGCACAATCCAGCACTGTGCCTGCAGATAGGCCAGCACAGCTCCAAGAGCTGTGTGTTGGCATGGGGCATGGATATACGTGACTAAGTAAGTTCTACCTGTTAGACCTGAGCTGATTTCTCATTCTCAGCTGGCACATAAAAAGCCAGTGCAGTGTCTCTGAGTCACATTGTGCAGTGCTTCTTGTGCAAGCATGGATCGAGTGTTATCTGCACCTGTTGAACTGCTCTGTGCTGAATAGTTTTCCACTGGGACCTGACAGGTCAGTTGTAGAGTTATGGCTTTGCCTTGGAGGTGTTCACTGCTAGACCCAGTTTCAGTTCAAGATACCGTGTACTCAAGTCCTTAATTTTATTTTCAATCTAAAGATTTTAATTGTGCTGTGTTCATGAGTATACGATATTAGACCACTGATATGTCTGCAAGCCGTGAGCTGTCAGCAACCAAGAGTATTTCTAAAATTGGATCTGTCACAAGGGGGAAGCATTTGACTATATTTAGTAACCGAGGAGGAGTCTTGACAGAATTCTCTTTTGTTTTCCTTCTTTCACTTACTCTAACGTTTAATTCTCCTGTTTGTCCTCCTTCTCTCTCACTTTTCAAATCTCCAGCCTTAAACTGAGTTTAAGCTGTAAAAACATCTTGCAATATATATTTTTTAAAAATTTTTGCTTCTCCTTTCTAGTTCATTTTCTCCCTGAATTTCTTTGTTAATTCTGTTCCCTTGATGCCATAGTTCATGTGCTGCTCCTATGGCTGACAATGGCACATTTGGAAATTGCTTTAACATTGTATCAGACTCCTTTTTGTGCACAAAGTGTCATAAATTGAGTAGGAGAAAAAGAAATACTCCTTTTCATACTCTAAAAGTCAATCGGTACTGGGCAAAGAAATAAGAAAAGTGTGAGGAAGCAGTGGGAATATTGTGCATTTACCAGCAGGAGGAACAGAGGGAAAGACAGCTCCCTGCCTACAACAGTTGTCTGAGACAGTGATAGCAGGGACAAATGTGTGACTGCTACTCCAGTGAGAGATCCTGGACAAATGTCCCTAATGATCTTACTGAAATTCAGAGTTTGTACAGAATGTGTCCATGGAAAAATCTTAATGGTTTTAAAAGTTAGGTAGCTCCTCATGGTCTGGCCTGCAAATCGGTTTGTCAGACCCAGCTACAGAGTGTGCAGCTTGAAAATGACTTGAAAATGGTTCTTCGCTTTCACAAATAATTGCTGCAATCATGGAGAACTGTTAATACTAAAAAACTGATATGCAAATACATATAATGATCTACATGTGGATACTTAATCAGCATTTATGTACTCACATTCTTGGTTAAAAGATCAGGTGATAGACGTGTTTTGGATTTGCCAAAATTGGGCTTTTTGTTTGCACTGTTCCTTTCAGATGTCACTGCTGCATTCTGTCATTTCAGCCTTCAAGTGGGCCACTGAGTCTGACTTACCCCATTCGAAATAAACAAGTAGAAATACCAGAAAAGAGCTGCCTATCTACCAACCTACCTTTCTGGTTAGGTCTTTCATAGACAGTCTGAAATACTAGGACTTTTCTTGTCTCATTGCTCTTGGGAGAATGTTCTGCCAGTTTAAATGCATGGTGCTATTTTCCAATCCCACACAGTTCCTTCCTTTTACTGAATTAGTCAGGAACTTGAATGGGATTATTGTGTTATACAATTACTTCATGTAATAAGGATAAGAAGTACAACTTGCAGAAAATGCATTAGGCAAAAAGAAAAAATTTGGCCTCCTCTTATTAGGAAGTTTTAAGTAATTGAAGAATTCCAAATTAACTAGATGGTGGGTTTTTTTTTGTGTTGTTTTCTATCACCAGTCATTTCCAAGCAACTGATTTGGGATGAGGAAGCACGTTTACAACTATATTGATAATTCTGTGTTTCTTCATATAGTTTTTTGTAGATTAAAGTTGTTCTTCTTTTTGCTCTGTTTTTCAGGGTACTTTTGATGACTACCTGGAGTTGTTCTTACAGTTTGGCTATGTGAGTCTTTTCTCATGTGTTTATCCACTGGCAGCTGTCTTTGCAGTGTTAAACAACATCACAGAGATATACTCTGATGCCTTAAAGATGTGTAATGTTTACAAGCGTCCATTTGCAGAACCCACAGCAAATATTGGTGTTTGGCAGGTAATTTTTGTGTCTTTCTATATTTATATATTTTAAAAGAGGTTTCAGCAGACATGTTTAAGCTGTTCAACCTATCAGCTACTTTAAAATTTAGTAGGAACTTTGTTCTGTTCAATGCCTTAGGATAATATCTATTCAACTGTATGTCCAAGTGTTTTTTTTGTAGGATTTTTTGACCAAATGTCCTTCAATTGCTTTTGAAAAGAAAACAAATCCTTTAATGCTTGTATATATATGTTGCAACTGCAACAAAGCATGGCAGCCAGATACTGCCTAGTGCTCTTTGCAGCCAATATGTTTTAGAAATGATAACATCTGATGCAATCTCAGGAGCATGGAGCTCAGCAATAGTTTAAAAAACATTGAAGAATGGTAGGTAGGTACTTGGGTTCCTAAGCTATGCTTGGCTGTGTGCCCTTGTGATTACTTGTGCTCAAGCTGGCTAATTTTAAAATAACCTGGATCTGTGAGCAGGAGCTGGATCTTTCTGCACAGCCTGAGCACTTTATCTAAACAATTTCACACTAGTAGTTGTGGGTTAAGGATTTCCTGTCCTTGGTTGTTTGCCCATGCAATCATGCCATCCCTGACTGGTTTGGAGCCTGCTGAATACGCTGTGTCAGTGAGCTGATTCTGACTAAAAATAACCCTGTAAAACTCCTCCAAACCCAGAGTTTTTTCCAAAAAGAAAGAATACTGTCAAGTCATGTCCAGAGACTTCAGCATTCTGTAATAGCAAGTATAAGGAGTGCGAAGTAGGTTGGAGGAAATTTCTAGGGGACGATCCATATTCTAGTTATAGTTAACAACTTTAGTAATGATATGTAGTGGAGACAGAGGCACAGTAAACTAGTGGGTCATTTAATGTGTCGGGGTTTTAAATGTTGGTACCAAATGGAACAAATGGTAGATGAAGAAATGAAATCAGGAAACCTCAAATGAAACATATTGCAGAAACATGCAGACTGAGTATTCTGTGCAATCATTATACACGTACATAGGTTTTAATGAAGCGAACTTACAGGAGAAATCTTTTATTATCCAGTCATTAAAATGTGTGAATTATAATCTGTGTTTAAACATTTGATGCGTTTTCTCAGTATAAATTTATGCTGCCAACATCTTGATGGCATAGTGGGGTTGACCAGTGCTGTGACCATCAGATAAATGAGGCTGTGGTCATAAGTCCCAGGTGTAGCTGCAGGTGTGTTAATAGCATTTGGTTTTGCTACAATAGTTCATTTCATTCTAGGGAGTAGGCCGGAAAACTGTAACATTGATGGTACAGTCATGTTGAGTTTTTTTATAGTGTAGATTTTTAATAGTAGAAGTGCATTTGTTTTGTATGAATTAAAAATAATGACTTAAACATTTAGTTACTTGTTTCACGTGGGCAGTTAGAGCATTGGCTGAAAGATCTGTTAAAGGAATAGTGGAATTATTTGAATCAGGTGAGCTGAGTCACCAGCTTGTTGTCAAGGTGAAAGTTCCTTCTGCTAATTTGCTGTGAAAACTGCAGCAATTCAGTGTCAGTCTGTCTTGTTCCAGAGGGGACATTTCCTTACATTTCCCTATTACTTAACATTCAGACAAAACCTCCAAAACTAGAGTGTTTGGACTGACAGTCCCACTAGGAATTTAGCATTTTTTCCTTTATCCTGGAGGGAATACATGTCAGGAATACAATTGTAGATGAGTGTTATAAGTGTTATGTAGATGACTGTGAGATGAGAACACATAACACACTTCTATGTGTTCAGATTATGCGTCATGAGGATACCAGGGATAAGGCTGCTTTCCTGTCCTCTTTTTTTCCTTTAAGATTATTCCAAATTATTCAGGTGCTGATCTGGCATTACCTACTTCTAAAGTGTTAGTGGTCTCTAAATAACTTCTCAAGGTCTTCACAGTACTAGGGAATTGTGGAAGAATACGGTTTAAATTCTTCACAGCAAACGCATATAATGTGCACGTAGAGAAATCAGGCTAGAGAGCCATTCAGGGTTGCTAGGTGATCTTTGTGGTATTGCAGACCTTGTTGTGGTCTTGTCTTTGCCTGTTCTTAAAGCTGATGAAGTCTGGACTGCTTGCCAAGCAAGTCTTACGTTGTAGAATTCAAAAGGTAAAGGCAAACAAAAAGTTCAAATAATAGAACTTCCGAAGATTTAACGAAGAGAGAGGTGTTTCCCAGAGCAATTTGGGGACTGGTAAATTAGAGATAATGGTCATAACTATAAATACATTTGTGTTTTATTTCAGTTGGCTTTTGAAACTATGAGTGTAATATCCGTTGTTACTAATTGCATACTGATTGGAATGTCTCCACAAGTGAATGCCCTTTTCCCAGACTCAAAAATGGAACATATTCTGACTGTGGCATTGGTAGAGGTAAGTTTGCCTTCAAACACTGCATGTGCTTTAGTAGCATATAACATAAACTGCGTAAATTATACCCGGAAGTAGATGTCTCCCAACCTTGTATTAAAAGGAAATTAAGATTTCCCTATCAAAGAAGTGTTAAAAAATCTTGCTTTTTGATTCCTCTCTGTTTTCGTGTGCTGTGAATGTTGTTGCCGTACTTCTCCATACATTCCAAAGATACCCTGTATTTGTTGCTTTGTGTATTTCAAAAATTTAACAGTGCTATTTCAAGAAGCAAAATAACCACATTTTTGTGAACTGGTTATTTCTCTGCTTGGTTTGTGACCCCAGCATATTCTATAAAGACCTCCTACATAATCTTTAAGGATCTTTCCTGTAAGGAAGATCCTTACATACAAGTATGTATGACGACTATAAATACTAGTGGCTGTAACAGCATTTGGGTTTCATCTTTTAATAATTCTGTGTAGTAAGCACTTGAGTGTCATTCATTTTCAGACAAGGAGAGGGATGACTCTGGTCATTTTGTATAATAACTGAGATTGTAGGACTTTGCCCTTAGGTAGCTTGCTTTCTTGTATTTCATTGCCTTGACTTTCATCATTGCACTATCTTAGCTTTTAGGAACTGGATTACTTTTCCTGTGGCAAAATGTCTGGTTTGTCTATGTGTAGTTGTTAAAGTGCATCACTTTACAAAGGAGCAGCAAGTGCACACACTGTGTTGTTTTTACAGGTATTAAGCATTATGCAGTGGATTATGAGCTTGCTTTAAGGGTTTTTTACCATATCTTAATGTTTGCAGAGTTAACTCTAAATATGAATACTGTCAACTGGTTAACTGAAGTTTGAGTCTGTAGACAGCCTGATGTATTCTATTTTGCATGTGTGAAGATTTGCGTTAACCTTGGTGATGTATTTTAATATAAAACTAATTCAGCAGTTTAAACATAATGCTGTAGTTCATTACTGGACAACATATTCAGAGAGATTGTATTATGAAAACTGTATCACTAAATGCAAGCAGTATGGATTTATGGCAGCTTAAAGAGATGGGGCTATTTAGTTTTGTACAGAGAAGCAATTTTGGTGTTGACCACTTATCTGTAATTAACATTGTATGAAGGGACTGGTGGAGGCTAATGCCAGGTGAGCCAGAAGAGAGGAAAGGCAACTATTTCATACATAGAAAAGTCAAGTTTTTTATTGCTCTTCTTAGTAAAAACAACCACCTAAACAACACATAATGCACTGGTCAGAAATGGAATATTTAAAAACCAGTTTTAATCACAAGTATCCAGTATGTGTGATACTTGTAAGTATGCTGCTCTGATTTTTATTTGTTTGTTTGTTTGTTTTGTGTTACTACGAACTACTTGTTGTCTGAGAAATAACGAAGACACAAAAAACATGTGAGTCATATAGTACTTTTCTGCAGCATAACACGCCATGTGATTTTTGGAATGTTGTTGATTATAAACAATTCCAAAACTGCTAAATGTCAAGTTTAAAACTTCTGCAGTCTCACAAAGGATGGTCTTCCAGTACATTTTAAACAATATTTAACAAGTTCATGGGTGTGGGTTTAGTCGGCTTCATTTCTTTGAAGTGTCAGAGAATAGCTAAGGTTGTACAATCTTGCAGGAAGTTTTGAAACACAAGTTACAAAGTTTCTGGAGTCCAGAAAAGTTCTCCAGAGTGAAACACGTTTTACATAGAAATTTTATTTAAAAAAATATATGAAGATGAACACAACAAACATGATTTCATTCCTGTTGAAGGCAGTTTCTGTTGTGTTGACAGTTAAACATATTCTCAGTTACAGAAATTATTATTTTAACAGTAGTTATATTGTACATATTACAGGTTAAAACATTGATTTAAAAAGGTAGAAAGAAGGTAGAATTACTAGATGCTGTGGGGCTGTGAACAGTAGAAGTATGGATTTATGGCATCTTAAAGAGATGGGGCTTCCTGGGCATTTATTCCCATCTTATCTGTTACACTGGCACTTTCTTTTGTCTAGTGCATGATAAATCAGATTAGGGAATCGATCTGGGAGAAGCTGTGTGACCCAGTTCACTACTGAAAGGGAGCAGGGCAGAACCACCTGTGTGAATAAGACACAGTAGTGCTGTAGGTTTGTGCTGGATGAAATTTGTGGGACTTCTGCACCGCTTAGTCTTTCTCCTGTAAGTATTACTTCATCTACAGGAGGATCCCTAAATTACAAGAGGAGCACAAATCTCACATATTGGCAGTATTCCCATGCACCTCTACTATATTTGTTGATGATGAAACTGCATTTCAGTTGTAAAGAAAAATTCAGGAGCAGAATATATCACTTTAAACCTCTAGGACAAACCTGGTGTGTCTAAAGTACATTAGTGTCAAGGTAGGAAGAAGTTCTGTTGGATGTGTCAGGGTGTTGGTAGAAAAGCATTTGAGATCACTTAGTAGAGATTCAGAAACACATGGTACAGGTGAGTTTTTTACTTTCTGATGTTTACTGCAGGTGAAGACAAGAATATTATGGTATGTTTATGCTAGTTTGACAGCAGTTTGGCAGGCAGTGTGAAAATGTTAAGGAACACAAGAAATTTCTTTTAGGAGGCTACATATGCTTTCACATGTTCAGTTGATGGTGTAACCAAATTAAATCTTAGCTGCCATTAGATTATTTTATCAGGTTTAAGTAATTGAGACTGCAGTTGGATATTTGTATGCCTATTTGATGGAAAGCTAAACAGAAAAGCACTGTTCTTACCAAAGCCAAGCATGGGTATTGGCAATATCCTGATGGGGTTTTATTTTTCAACAACAACAAAAAAATAGTGCTTTTTTATAATAATACTGATGCTCTTCAAATGGCAAGATGTTTATATGACAATATTTTACATCAATCAGTGCATACATAATAAAGAGCTGTTTGTGATATTCTTGTAAGCTTTCTGTACCCTGCTCCTACAGCTTTATGCAAGGTAATGGTGGTTTTTGTTTTGTTTTGATTTTTTTCATTAATAGCACTAACTCTACTGCTGTCTACACTTGTGGCAGGAATAGCTATTGTGTGAGCAGAGTAAATGCTAATTAAATAGAATAATATATTAAGTATTTCACCGTAAATAATGGTAAGCATCAAAATAATAACATTTAACAATAATCTTAAAGTATTCAACCAGTGATTTTTGGTTTTGAAGAGCTGACCTGTTTTCATCAATCCAACATCTGCTTCCATGGCAACATGATTTGAACCAGGAGCAGAAGCATGAAACTCCCCTTTTTTACTTACGGATGGATGCTGAGTGAGTGCAGCAAGTGCAGTTTTCAAAGAAAAAGAAGTAGGTGAATGTCCTTAAAGCAGGAAGCAATAAGTCCTTAATAACATAATTTTAAAACAGTTATATCCCATAGCGTGCTTAATATTTCAGGCTTTACCATAGACACATACTTGTGGTATGAACCAGTTTCAAAGTCGGATATTCCAAGCAAGTGTCTGTGCTCATGTGAAACTGTTCCAAATCACTTCTGACTTCTTCCACTGATTTGAATAAAAAGAGGGAATTACTCTGAAGAAGTTTGGTGAATAGCTGGGGAGTGGGTTAAAACAAGGTGTAACCTTAATTCTGCAGTGCTTTTTTATTTTTCTTGAAAACTATTAACAGAGGGTTTTGTTCCTCATGACTATTTCTTCTTAGTGTAGACTCTCAGAAATTCAAAGAATGCAGATTAAATCTGTTTCAGGACTACTCTGAAAATTGAGTCCAAGAAATCAATTGTATGTACGACTCTTAGTAGTGATTCTTTTCTTTTCAGAAACATTGAAGTTTAACAGCACATTGGTAGGGGTATTTTGAAGCAATAGTTGTAAATTACAGACTAGCAGGAATGTATTGTGATCTCCA